AGAAGGTATGAATTCATTAATTATTTAGTAGGTTTTTTTTAATTTATTCAAGTACATGATATTAGGTTTATCACAAATAGTGACAATGAATACATATATATGTGTGTGTGTTCATGGTGAAGAATATTAATGAATATGTAAATGAGTTTTATTGAGAGTTGTTAAGTTAGGTGTTTCTAGACCTAATTTAAATTGGTTGGTCTTGAAATTTTTAAAGAATTTATTTCATGTGTTAAAGAAAAAAAATCAAAGAAAGAAGAACCAAGAAAGGTGCACAACATAGATTCTAGAATTCTGTAAGGTTGAATAAGATGGGAATTCTAAAATTATGGAAAGTTCTTTTTTAGTTTCAAAGAGCTTTACTTTTAACCATCTATTCTTCTAAAATTAATTTTTACCACTGTTTACTTGGTAAGTTGGAAAAATAGAATTTTGAAAAATTTATGGCAGCCCTGAAAGCAAAAAATTCATTTTTAAGAAAATTATACTTTGACCCCAAAAGTTTTAAAAAATTATGATTTGACCCCAAAACTATAAAAACTTTTTATAAACAGCCTAGAATACTTCTATATCCTATTACCTCGTATTAGAAAAGATATTTATATTTAAAGGATATATTAAGCATATATCACTGGGTAGGAAGTACGTAAATTAAATATAAAATCGCAAAATGACAAATTTAGGAAGAGATTGATCGTTATATGTTATTTTGGATTAGGTGGTGATTACATTGAAGTTGAGAAAGAAGATATTGAATTTAAATTTGAGAATTAAGGTGAGTATTTTATTACTTCTTTTGGGAGGTTTTTTTATATTAAATGTGTGGGTTCGTGCGTGTGAATTTTCATATATATGATATATGTGTTGATATTGAGGTTAAATGTTTTACAATTGTGAATTGTTATACATGTGAATTTTGAAAACTTATGAGATGATTTTATATCATTGCCTAAATATGCTTTAATGATGAAAAGAAAATTTTGTGTGCGTTGAGACTAAAACGACAATTTTGGTGTGTGTGAAAATTATGTTATATGAGACGGGGACTGAGTTACTAGGTCTACATGATAATGAGATTGAATGTATACCGGTGTGATCGATATAGGAATGTACAAATAGGAGTCAATTATCAGGTTAGTGATGACAAGAGACGAAACTAGTTACCAGACTAATGGTAATAAACATTATTTAACAAATATATTTGAGACCGAATGTTTGTGTGAATGTTTTGAATTGTAAATGTCTTTTTATTTATAAAGTTATTTATGAAAATGAATTATGTTTTGAGTTATAAATATCTTTTCATTTATAAAATTATTTGTGATAATGAGATCATTTTGTTTAAATGATTATGTGAGAAGAGTTTGGGTATAATTTGTTGTATTCATGTAAGTATCAAAATTTATTTTTGTATATAAACTGTGAGATTTATTTTCACACCTCGTTAGAGGTAGTTGCTATTCACAAGTCGTTGTGCTCATACAAGCATTTAATATTTTTCACGTAAGGATCAGGGTTAGGGGTAAGTCCACATATAGACAAGAGATTAGAGCACTTGAAGATTTATTTTATTATGAGTCTTCAAAAATAAATCTTTTTAATAGTTTTGAGACAAATATTTAATTATTTTGTAAACAATATTGCTTATGTTTAAAGTAGTGAATCTTACGATTTAATTATTGTTTTATATGGATTTAGTAATGGTGTTGATGATGTTTAGTTTATTCCTCTGGTATTCGTTAGGTCGATAGAATGAATCACTTTATTATTTGTCTTCCACTGTATTTTGCATTTATTATGCACATAATTGGTTGGTTAAGACATTGGTGGCCGGTCCGCCACCCACCCTATGTGATCTAAGGTGTGGGTGTGACAAGTTTGGTATTAGAGCATAGGTTGATGAATTATCAGAGGATTAAGATGGATATGAATGGTTGTGTATGCTTTAGTTAACTTTAGTTTGAGGGATAGAAAATTATGTTTATTAGTTAATAGTATGATTTGTGTAGTGACTAAACCTAGTTAAGTTACTTTGCATTTTGTACAAATAAGATATTGCAAGAAAGGATGGTAAGGGTGTTGTAAGAAATGTGATTGACATTAATGAAATTTTAGATTCTACAAATTCTTAGGTGTCTCCTATAGTAGCAATGAGATTGGTTGTGGAATGCAAAGTACTTAAATTTTATTTGATCGTGGCAACTCCTACGGGTGGTTTTGAGTTAGGAGATGTCGTGTACTTAAGGTGTAAGGTCCACATTGGAGAACATCAGTAACTAATTGATTGAGTTTCTTAGACCTTAGGGGTTTTGATGTGATATTAATTATGGGTTGGTTAGTCACACGACATGTGACAATTGATTGTTTTGAAAAGAGAGTCATGCAGATTTAGTTTTGAGGAAATATGAATTATTTAATCCCTAATATTAACTCTATGAGTGCAAGCTCGAAAATAGGGTGTGGAAAGATTTTTAAGGAAATATTGCTAGTATTTATATAAATGAAATAATTTTAAAAAAAGCCAATGTGTATCTACTCACAAAAAATTCCCCCAAAAAGACATACACAAAAGAGAATCCACATATTACTTCTCCATAATTAAGTAGTATATAGTGTACTCATCCACAAATTTTCCTATATAGTACTATACAAAAGGGTTTTAAGGGGGCCGGTACTATTTTTAGAAATTATAGGCAGAAAGTACCACTTTTAAAAACATAGGTCAAAAAGTTCACAACCCTTAACAAATCTCTAAAATAACCTCTTCAATAAAATGAGAATCGATTCTTATATTTTGCCTCCCCACACCTGAAACTTAAAAATCTCAACTATTACACATAAATCTCTTCAATATCACCAGAAACCCCATTCTTCTAAAAACTTCCATAAAATCTCTTTTTGGATTTTCAAAACTTCATGTTGAACGTTGTTGAAGAAGTGAAAATCACTATTCACAAGCAATGGGGTTTTTGATTGTTTCACCATGAATAAGTGGAAATCTCGCCGAAAAACATACATTCTTCCAATGTTTGGTGAGAAACCTTCCCTAAAATCTCATTTTCTTTTCAAAACTTCATGTTGAACGCTGAATAGGATGTGAAAATCTCTTTGAATAAGTGATGAGTTTTTTGATGAGTTCACTGTGAATAAGGAAAAATATCGGTATCAAACAATGACAACTCATACCGAAATTCATCACTGAAGAAGAAGATCGTTGAAGTTTTTGAAAAAGAAATTGATAATTCAAGAAAAATGTTGTTTCTCCCAAATTTTTATTTTATCTACTTTTTTTTCCCTCAATTACCTTTCTACTTTTGGTGCGTGGTACTATATGTACACTAAGTATTCGATCATTTACCAAAAAAAAAATCAAAGAGGTCATATATATTGTGTCAGTCAATGTATGCAGTGTGAAATTAACTTGGAGTAGTGTGACATTGGTTTGTAGCAGTGTGAATTTAGTTTATAGCACTGTGACATTATCGTGCGAGGCAGAAAATCATCCTCCAAATTAGAATTATCATCTTGATTATTACGATCATCCCTATTTGAGTCATCGTCATTGACTTTTATCCTCACATGAACATGATTGACGTTAAGAAACCGTAACGATTTTTTTTATAAACAAAAAAACATATGGACGACATACTTAATGCAATTCATCCATTGCGACTAACTGGAATATGTTTGAAAACCCGATTACAGAATGGAATGAGTGATAGAGAAGAGGATTGAATGATAGAGGAATAGGTATGGAATGTTTGAATAAACGGTTGGTCAATCACACATGAATAGGTAATTTAAAGTTCAAAAAAACTATAGCATAAAATTAAGAAACTGAATCCCTAATATAAATGTCATATTTGTCTCCAATTAATAAAGGAGAAGGGTAATTTAGTAAGAGAAAAAATTACAATTCAATAAAAGTGTATTTTTTCACCAAACATTTACACATATATTTTATATTGAGGTACTTTTACACAAATAAATATGTAAAGATGTACCTTTTCACAATTTGCCCTATACAAAAAATGGACAATAAAGTTATTAACCATTGGGCTGAATAGGCCCAGCTCCTACAGCCTCTGTTTCTCTACATCTCCCTTTAACCTGATGTTGTGCAAACAACAATAGTTTGCTAATAAGATATTCATGGCAAGTTCGAGTTATTGCCTTCGTAAGTAGGTTTTGTGAGGCAACATGAGGAAGGGTAATCTTGCCTATATATATATATATATATATATATATATATATATATATATATATATATATATCGTGAATAAAATGATAGTCAATTTTTATCTGTTTCGTACGTTCATAAAAAAAAATTGGATTTGAAGCAATGTGACACTCGTATTATCTGCATATAGAGGTCCTTGTAGCGGAGGACATTGCATGGTATATTCAGCTTTTGCGGAAGATTTGGATATGGTGTCATGTTTCTTGCATTTCCAAAAAATAAGAGTCTCCAAGGAACATGCACCAGCCTGTAATAGAGCAGTGAGTATCACGGCAACCTGCCAAATCAGAATCAACATAAGCATGTAGTTCAAAGTAGAAGTGGAAGAAAAGAACAACCTACAACAATAAGTCCCTTGGTCTAATTATTTGATGCAGATCTGTAAGGTGACTATTACCACAAATTGACTAGCAACTTGAACAATATGAGAAATATTCGACCTATTTATAGTGATATAATATGAGACTCTCAACAAGTTGACGATAATGAACATTCAAGTTGTTAGAGAGCCGATCTCCATCATCCTTGGAATACTTCACTTTAAGATCTATTAAAGTGGCAACAGATTTATTATCAGAAAGATTGGCCATTGCAATCAAATCTAGCGCATATTTTCGTTAACAAAGAAAGTAACCCCTTGATGAAGATTGGACTTCTAGGCCAACAAAGTATGTCAGGGGTCCCAATCTTTCATTTTGAAGGAAGAACTCAGGAGTTTCTTAGGTTGGTCGATACCAACTTTTTTGTTGTGTGTTTGACTTATAAGGAATAATCATCTTGGCTTTGTGAGTAGCCAGCCCGAAGTATCACTTCTTTGAAACAATCAAACCACGCGTTGCAAGTCTATTTAAGACTGTACAATGACTTCTTTAAACAACAAATCATAGAACTATCAGAAGAATATCTAGGAGGTTGTCTCATATATATGGTTTCTTTCAAAGACCCATGCTGGCTTTGTGAGTAGCTGGCCGGAAGTGTCACTTCTTCAAAACAATCAAACAATGCCCTGGAAGCCTGTTTAAAACCATACAATGACTTCTTTAAACGACATACCATAGAACTATCAGAAGAATGCCCAGGAGGTTGTCTCATATATATGGTTTCTTTCAAAGACCCATGAAGGAGTTCTTCAAATCCATTTGAAAAATAATCTAGTGACTAATAATATAAATAGTAATTACACGACCAACAATGGTCATTGTAACTACTGGAGCACATTTTTCCTCAGTGTTTACCATACTCTTGATCAAAGCCTTGAGCAACCAAACTTGCGTTATAACTTTCAATGCTGTCATCAGAATTTAGTTTGACAGAGAATACCCATTTGCTACCAATAATGGTTACATCAACAGGAGGGGGGAAAAGTTCCCATGTTTCATTTTCGAATAAGGCTTTCATTTCAATATGCTTCTTTCCAACAAGGAATGCACCAGGCATGTTTGGAAGAAGAAAGAATGTTAACAGTATCAAGAGTGGTAAAAAGAGAGTGAGATGCACGGCAACCGAAGCTGCATTATTGATCCTGACTCGTTGTTTGTTTCGTCTTTGAAGTTTCGATGACGGTTATGTCCAAATTAATTTTTGTATGTGTTTCCGCACAATCCAACAGTTGCAACAATGGCAGATAATGGCTATAACCAAACTGAAAACTAACGTACAACGACAGATAATGACGGATATAGGAGGTGGACAAACGCTGTCGTCCCGGAAAATTCCTCTTATCATAGTGAAATTAGTTCTGAATATTCTCAAACTATTAAGCTCAAACTTAGCTAATACTATGCTTTCACAATAAATGAACCGTCATACACTATTTTATAGATGCTCCTTCATTGCAGTTTCAACTAATTCCACAAAGACAAACATATAAAAATCATAATGAATGTTCGAACAAAAGTAACATAACATAGTAACATACCATACACCAATCATTTGGTAAACCAACCTATCACTAGTCAGTGAAATTAGGAATAACAGCACCTGTCTTGGCGGCCTTGGCTGCCGCCGATGGCTCAACAGATGGCGTCGGGGTCACCGGGGTGACCACAAGCTCAGCTGGCAAATCCTTAATCCCCTTCAAATAAAACGTATAAAACAATTTGAATGGGAACACAAGCTGTTGCAGCTTCACCTCACCATACACCCCCTCGAATATACCCGACCCACCAGTCACGGCCAAATGCGTGTCCTCGTACGTCAGATATGCGCCTTGAACAGACAGGTGCCCGTAATCGCCGAAGTAGAAACTGTATGTGGCCTCATAACGGTCACCATTCTTTTCTGGGACATGCTTGATTAGGACACAAAGGCCTGCTGTGATGCCTAGCCTCTTGTTTAGGTCACCAGAGTAGAGCTTGTTGCTAAATGGGACAAGGTCACCAAGTGAATTGACTTCTTTCTGGCTTAGCCTTAGGTATGCTGGGCTGCCTCTGTCTCGTTCATTGATCTCGTAGACGTATAATTCTTGAACTTTGACTACAATTCAAAGTGAAAGTTTATAAGAACACAAAAAAGTTATTTCATTATAATCAGGAGTGTAAATCAAACAAATTGCAGCAATGGTTGACCCTAGATTTGATTCTCGGATCCTATTATTTGGAGTAAAAATTTGGATTGGACTCAGGTGGTTCGAAGCGTCAGTGGATTTAGCAAGTGTGCCGGGAATGCAGCTCAGCCGTATTAGGTCTGGACGCCTAATATTCTCCGGTAGCGGCACTATACCTTAGTTACGCCTAGCTTCCAATCTATAGTTCATAAAGGTCATTCCATCTCGAGATCCCAAGGCTCAAGTACTGACTCCAAATTAAAACAAGGTGAGATTTGTTCTCATTAAAACTCGAGTATTGAAAATGTTTGTAAGGACTATACAAAGATCTTGATTGAGGCCAAATTAAGTTTGAGAGTTGAACTCCAATTAAGTTCGAGTTCCCTCGGCCTATTACACCCTTAACGGTGCATTCATACAATCAAGACACAAGTTTGAAAGAATTAAAACGAGTAATTGGACTGGGGGAGGAATTAGTCGATGCGCGTAAGCTGGGGGAATTTGTTTCAGAACAGAGTACTTACTAGGTTTTGAAGGCTCCTGTTTTTTTCCGAAGATGTTGAAGAAGAACGCTGTCGTTTTCACTCCTCCCAAAGGTCTTCCGCTGGAGAAGTCTTGATGGGCTTTTGAGATCTTGAGGTTTTGACTTGAAACAAATGGATTTGAGAGTTTAGAAGATAACTGTCTGTGGCTTTCGAAATTAGAGGCGAATCCTGAGGTGGGTAGATTCAGAGAGGAGATCGTTTTGAAAGAGCTTGCGGAGGCCATTAATGGCCGATGGAGAGAGAGGCTGAAGCAGAGATGTTGGAAAAAAATTGAAACTTGGAGAATAAGTGCCTTTGAATTTGGAACTTTGGGAGAGAGGTAGACAATGTGTGTATGTGGGAGTAATTATAAATTCTATTAATTTATCATTTAGCATTTAGCCTTTAACCTCATCAAATTAATGACATTTTTTTTAATTTAATATCAAATTAATATTCAATTTCATCAAAGCAGCATACAAATTTATTCAATTAATATTTAAATTTATCAAAATAACACTAAATTAATGTTTAAATTTATTAAATTAATACTAAATTTATTCTATTAATATTAAATTTTATTAAATAATATTTAAATTTGATATGTGAAGGGTGATGTGTAAAAAGTGGTGGAGTGATGTTATAGCGAACAGACAATAGCAGAAGAGTTGAAAACGGATGAGATTTTGACATTGACTTTATAGATTATAATTTTTATTATAGATAAAATATTTTTAATTATAAAAATTTGGTTATATAACCAAAAAAATGATAATATGATGACTAATATAGTACTTATATATATAAATATATATTCTCGGTGGTATTTATAACAAAGTTATCATATTACATTTTAAAATAATAAAAATTCATTGAGATCAATTGAAAATGACTATAATTAATCTTCTTCTCTGGTAAAATGTTAAAAATAAATTTTTTTATTTTGCTTTGTTTGTATGCATTTTTGACCTTATTATGTTGAATGATTTTATTTTGTGTAAAAACTAATTTTATTAGATATAAATATATCATTCTACTTATCAAAAAAATAAAAACTTTATAAAGTGCCGATCTAGGCATTTTAGTTTATTAATATAACAGAGAGTAATTTTGAAATTTTTAAAGACTAAATAGTCAAATCGTGCATTTTATCTACTATCAGAAACGACAATTACTATTAGAGAGTGTTCATGATTCGACAATATAAATTAAAAAGGAGTGTAATGAAGTTTCAAAATCGAGAGGAGATCTGATTGAATATAGACCTAATTATAAGGGGGTGTGGATACAATTTTTTCTATTTATTAACTATTTAGATCCAATTTTACTTGTATCTAAAATTGTTAATGAGTCAGTGTTGTATTTTTATAATGTATAAATTTCATGTATCAAATTCGCTCAATTACCTTGACTTTACGGGTTTAAAAATGAACAAAATCACTTCATGTATACACTGTCAAATTTGAAGTATGGTGGCATATGCTTGTGCTGGACAAAAGACATAGAAGTCGAGATCATCCTATCCTCTAGAGCATCAATCATATCTAAAAATTATTGACTGCGTGTGTGTGCAATTGTTGTTATTTTCTAAAAAATAGAAAATATACAAGAAGATTTATATACTTTATAAATATTTTAGTCTCGGCGTAGATGATCTGTCTTTAATTAAACTAAAAAAATAAATTAATTGAAGTGTACGTAAACTAATTCAAAAATTCCGAACAAAATAAAAGAATCTACGTGAGAAAACAGTTTCAAATTTCTCATAGCTAGACAAAGTGTAGGGCCTGTTGTCTTCGTGCGGGAAAAAAATATTATTCGGTGAAATGCATGTGCAAAAATCAGGGTACAGACAGACTTAAGAGACAAAATTAGTCATACACAGCTGTAACTAGATTTAAGAAATGAAATTAACTAATTCTATATTGGCTACCTAATCATGCAGAGCTTGACTCAGTAAAATAAGTTGCTGGTCTATAATAAGTATAAGAGAGAAATTTGGTGGAAGCATCTAAATTTCTAACAAACTTAAGTTTGTCAGGTTGTGGCTCTCTATGTGCAGCTATCTACCAATCTACTTCCAGGGCTTTTCACCTAATTATCATGATTTTATAACTTTATTGAGAATTTCTAGTTATTAAATATTTAAATGGTCTTTTCATAATCTCAGATTTTCGAATCGAATCTCGAAAAGCATAAAGGTGTTTGATTACTAACATGTTAGTACCTATTCATTCGTAGTAATAGTTGATTCTATCATATAAAAAACCCTTTAATCTTTTTTGGGTGCTTCATGTTTCGAGGAGTGACCCATCTGTTCTTGTGCCAGATACAGAATGCTCAATGAATCCTCTTATTGGGCCGCAAGGCAATACCAAGACTAGTTGTTTAATCAATATGCAATGCAAGAATATAAATAGTTATATCATTAGAGTGATAATTTCTGACACAACACGAAAATACGACTCAAAATTGACACATAATTAACGAGTTAGGATTAACTATTTCTCAACATGAGTTTACATATGACACGACCCGTTAAATTAGTGTCAAGCACACACCATGAAATTGACACTAATAACACATTTAAGTAGTACATAAGAATAAAATGTTAATTTTTTATTATATTTTATCAAGTAGTAACTTAATTCTTATACAAAAAAAAGATATTTTTACTCATTTTTATTATTATATTTATTAATTTAATTTTTAGTTTATAAAGAATATATGAACATAAGTTCGATTAAGTGATATTGAAATTTTAGACATAAAACTAAATGTTAAATTTTTTATTCACGGGTTCTGAGTCAACATGAACACGACATAAAAATATATAGAATGACACAACACGATTAGTTAAATGAGTTAAATTAGGGTTGATTAATGTTCGACATAAATCCTAAACGACACAACACGAATATGACCTGATACGATACAACTGTCATCTATATGTCATTATTGAAGAGAAATTGCATAAAAACTAATCATCACACACAATTGCAGAGGATCCCACATATAACATTATGATTTTGAATTTGGAAACCATCTAAAGTTAATAAGCACATGCCTGCATAGAAGTATATACTTCCATAGCTAAATTTCACATAAGAGACTGATGTAGGCTCTGTAATAACAGCTGCATTCTGTCAGCTGAATTGAATCCAACAGGAAATGCCACCAAGTTTTTGGTAACTTTCACTTTTTTAATGACACTTCACCAGCCTTGAATGATATCAACAAACAATTTCTGTTTTCATATAATTCATTTTGCTAACCAAAGACCAATTCCACTACACACACACAAAAAAAAAAATTATTCTTTTGCTAAGTGAAGAATAATATCTACATGAATCAATAGAAATGTAGCTGATGCTGTCCTTTAATCATATATCTATACATCAGAAACATATGAAATGACTGGTTTAACATTTTGTCAAAATTTCTGCACCAGTTCTTGTAATCAAAATAGTATGCTCAAACTGTGCAGCGGGCAAGCCATCAGCTGTCAGAGTCGTCCAGTAATCCTCCCATGTTACACTGTCGGTGCTTCCCAGTGTAAGAATTGGTTCTGCAGTAAACGATGTACAACATACCACGTAAGGGTTTCAAATCAATGTCCAGCTTTAAGTGTGTAAAAAGACTACACATTCATTAAGATTACTTAAGAATAATCTAGATTGAAAAAGAACGAGACAACATCACTAATAGAGGTAGCATATTTAATAATCTGTTTAAAAGCTTGCTGGAACAATATTTGCCAGCTTGTTGAAACTCATAAAATTCATCTCCCTGTTCTACAGTAATCTTACAGGTGACCATAGAGCAGGAATACTTTTAATAGAAGTGGTATGGGAACAGCAAAAGGAACTGCTACTGGAGAATCTTCGCCAGATCAGAAAATTGGCAGGATCCTCGACTGTGTTTCCTAAAGGCAGTTTGTGCTTGCGCCAAACATTGGAGATGTAAGCAACAGAAACAGCTGGTCAGTAGGTAATGACTAGGTGATAGTACTACCACAGATCTGTGATTGAAATTTGTCTTTAGGGTCTTCGATCTGGATACTGGATGGTGTTGTTTATGGTACAAGAAAGAAACGCCATGCACCCTACGTCAGATTCATCCCAAAAAAACTAAAAAATTAGCAAAAAAATAAAGTAATGCGTTTTTTCTTAAATTTCTAACTACTAAAATTACTATCCGGAACAAGGGTGGAAATGCAGGCAACAGAAATAGTCTCCATACAGTTTTACTTCTTAAGTATCATGCTAATTTTGAACTAAATTGAGCAAGAATGATTTCAAGTGTCCCTCAGAAAGAGTCTCCAGACATGTGGTTGACAAGTTCTCTAGCGGATGACTGCCATTGCCTATTGCAGTCATGTATCAGTTGCTAGCTAAATTATTTTTAATTCCAGGGAATACGAAGTAAAATTCGAGAATTTGAACATCAGATACTTGAACATGTATGGACAAGAGCTATGGCTGGGAACGCAACAAAAGAATTTATTAACCAAGCAAATCAAACTGAGAAGAGAAAATGAGAGAGATCCAATGTGAGTGCAAGCATTTTGTTGACTCCATGACATTCAATCAAAGAGGAAAAGAAAAACAAATACACAAAAAAAGATCACAATAATCTGAAAGGAAGACTCGCAATGCAGTGCAGTAAGATGTCTCCAATGTCAAACAAAGATGCCAAACATCTAATATCAAAATGCTTCAAAAATATTTCGGGCATAAAACGCAACACTCACCAATTGTGAATGTTTGACCTTCAACCATGGAACCAGGCCTGTCATTGCCTGTCAAACAAATTTACATTTGCCTTTAGAACATTAAACAGAAACTGATGCGACAGACTCTAAAGGGAAATAATATACACAGAATCCGCTAGCCTAAGGGGCACATATTACACTTTCCCAGATATAGTGTGATTGCTGATTATCAATGGACTACTGATCTGGTTGCTACTTGTTTGTTGTATTGTCATTGTGCTTCTTTTTTATGGCAACTTCAGAGGACGTCAAGGGTTCTTCAGTGGATGATAATGGTGGTCATAGTGGTGGCCAAGGTGGTAGACATTAGGCCCAACAATTGTGTCGGGTCATATCGAGTCTTCGTAGGTTCGTGTAAAAAACTACCCAACCCGTATATGACTCATTTATTAACAGGTGAAAATCGAAAAATAGAACATTCACACTAAGAAGTATTAGTCCTAACCCACTAATTTTGTATCATTTTAATGTGTCAAAAATTATCACCCTTGATAGTAGATGCCACGTATTATGCAAAATGGATGGAATTGAGCGATCACTTACGGTGATGAAATATTAGTGGTTCGGAATGAAATACAGTCCCCACGCCATGCCCAACAAAACGATCCACCACACCATATCCATACTTTTCAGCATGCTCACTGAAACAGTTATGCAGAAAAGTTTTAAGAAGCACGAACACACATAAAACAAGAAGCATGATTCCTATCAAGATAAAAAGCAATGTTCATCATTCATCAACTACATGTTAGTAATTCACTAATAATTCAAAGCATGAAGGTGGGCCCATGCTAATAAACAAGGAAGCTAGTTCTGCAAAATATATACACTTTTTAGGTGATTACTGAGTTGCTTAAAGGGTTTCCCATAGAATCCAAACCACATTTTGCTCCTTTTACTCAATTTCCATGGAACAGAATACACCCTCAACTCATGCCAGTTGTCACACAATAATGTCTCACTATACTTGGCAAATGAGCAATAAACAAGGGGCAAATAGGTCTAAAGTTGGGAACTTTGTGAAATCAAAATGTTTGCAAACCCATATAATGCTCAATTGATGGTATGGCACTCAAAACAGAGTACAAGTCCAATCGATTGAAATAATCAATGTCTAGGAGCATATTTTTTTTTTTAAGAAAGAAAGAATTTTATTTCATGAATTTCAAATAATTTTAGGAGCATATAAAACAGACATAGATTTGGAGAATCTATCCCCAGAAAGTTCATCAGATTTTGTCTCCCACCTGGCATACATGTACAAAAAATACCACTAGAACAATCAAAGAAATGAAGGGTCCTCTAGATCTAACATTGACCTCTTCCAGTCTACCGCGGCAGAAACTAAACATTTAATTTGAAATGAAAAAGCTTATGTTTCGGTGAAAGAGCACCAATGACAAGATTATACCATGAACATTGTGCTACTATAATCTTCAACAACCTAGACGATGGTGAATGATAGTATGAAACAAAACATATGCCCACAATAGTGCCATGTGATCCATCTGAAGCTACTGCCATCCCCTAGCTCTCAAACAAGTGTCCACATGCCACTTGTGAAAGCAGGAAGAAAATAAAAAATCCTCGGGAACTAGAATGACTGTTTGTAGCCATCCCAATTTGATCTAAGATGTCATCCTCAAAATTAAATAAATTAAAAAAACCAACTTACGGCTTACGCCAAACATAAATTTTTTAGAGATTTCCTTCAACTAAAACAATAAAAGTTGGTACGAGATGGAAAATAAATCAGGATTCGATTGCTAAGCTTAGTGATACTCCACCTTCTTTATACCATCCTCGTCCACACTAATGTAAAAAGTCAGATGATATTTTGCAGGGAATTATTGTCACTACATACACAATGTATACGGAGAATAATTATTGTCAGTAACTACTAGAATCTCTACTCTGTCATCATATTTACATTTGCCTACTGGGGTCATTCTCTTTCTTTTCCTCTTTTTTCTCCTCCCTGGTTGTCCAATCTAATCAACTCTTGCTAACTTGGTACATCTACACCACTTAAAACTCCTGAAAATGGAATTCTATACTCCCAGCGTGGTAATTTTCAGGCAGAAGCTTTAACTGTTGCAAGTTAATCTAAACTTCACAAAGGATTTCGACAATCCACAATATTTTCAGGGAAGCAACTAACTGAAATCAATATTAAGTCCAAGAAAAAAGTGTAAAGTAACAGTTAAAGAACCAATTTATTGTGCCGATTTCAGGAGAGGAAGCAAAGGTTGAAGTTTACATTAACAAACCGGGTTTATATGTTTTGTGAAGAACACGTGGTCCAACAATAGAGAAGCTATAGCAGAGTGAACAATCCAATACAACCACATATGGCTAAAGAAATTGAAGTAAACCATAACTTAAATCATATAAAGTAGGAATAAAAGGGTTTTTTGAGGAAACGAAAATGGATGCATCATGTAAGATGGGTGTGTTTGATAGACACGTGCAACATAACTAAGTTCTGCAGAAGTCCCCTTAATAAAAAATAGCATAGTACTTTTTAAATATGAAAATTGGACGGGATTGGCTTGCAACTGGTGTAAGATTCTGAATTCTTACACCCTTCAATAACATTCTCAGGATGCATAATCTAACCTCTGAATTAGACCTCTCAGTTAGCTTGTCATGCCTGGACTATATGTACTTAACTGATTATTTCTAAGCATTCAATTGGTCTCATTTTTCAAGAGTAATTTAGAGCTTGATGTTGAGGAAGGAGCACTGGGTCTGGGTTTCATATTAAAACTTTGATCCAACACATGATTGAAAAAATGAAAATACCTAATCCTCTTCCCAATTTTCCTAAATAGAGCACCATCTTTGCAAACAGCAATGCCTTTATTCAAGCACTCTTCGGTCACCTGTCAACACATTGGAGAAACGTTATAGAAGGCCACATTAAATGGGCAGCAAAGCTTGAAGAAACATTAGTCACATTATCTAAAAATAAAAGTATCTGACATTATAAATAACTACAAATATATAAAAGTAACAAAGAGCAGTAGCAAGACAGCAATTGTATTTTGAACTTCTGCCAGCTACCTCAAGCATTGTTCAGTAATAGAATATATTAGTAATGATTATAATTGGCAAGGAAACATGAAGATAGTTTCAATGTTTCCTTTGACAGGTAAAAATAAGAGTATACCTTGACAAGTCGTTTCAGCGCATCATTAACATTGCCACAAAGAAAAGTCTTTGACGTGTCTCCATGATAACCCTGACTTGCAGAAAACCCATAGGGTACAAAAGTCAGAAGTTGAGTTCAAAAGGAAAAAATATATTTTGAACACTTTTCAGTTTTGACACAAGATATTTGGAAAAGAGCTGTATAATTCATTTGAAAATCAACATTTTTAGTATTGTTTTTAGATAAATGAATGCATTTTGTTGATAGGAAATATACCGATCTTTGAATTCCTAAAAATACATTTTCTTTGTGGTTTATTAGAAAATTATGCATGCAACACAAAGATATAATAGTGTGGACTGATATTAATCTGCCTTTAATAATTGGAACATAAACATGTGAAACAAATTTCATAGCATTAGAAAAATTAGAACAGAGAGAAAAGAAAAGAATGAGAAAGTATAAAAAAGAGGCATATTCCATAACTTGTGTGACAACAAATTCACTCAGTTTTCCTTTTGAGTTTATTTTTCCCCTAATGGTTTGGTCAACATGCTGTCCTTCTATTTTTAATTTATCCTATATGATCTACATGCTGAGGTCTATTGACAGGTGGATGTTACAAGTGGCTAGATTATTGAACTCAAGGATCAAGAAACAGCAATAGGACACCAACTATGTAGAGAAATGACTATTGAAGTTCTGGTACTAGAGTTCAGACATCTAACATTTCAATTTACATTGTACCATCAAGTTAATTTGGAACTTAGAGCGAGTTGATGACAACAGCAAATAAAGTAAGGAAACAGACTGAATACATAATTAAGAGTAAGGATAAGAAAACTGTCAAATCAATAGTCAAGAACACCAACACTTGGGTATCCATTAACACGAACCTAGCCAGCAAAACAAACTACAATTCATAAGTCCAAAGAATTTAAAAAATGGGGAAAGCTTAAAAAAAACTCAACAACTTACATTTAAGTAGACTGTCACATCAATGTTTATTATGTCGCCATCCTGCACAGGAGAGGGTCATTTTTTGGGAAAGGTGCCTACTGGGGGAAGCGAAAAAAGCAATGGTAGCATACAAAACCTGTAGCTGGCGAGAATCAGGTATTCCATGGCACATGCACTCATTGACTGATGTGCATACACTCTTTGGAAAGAGTCCATACCCAAGAGGCGAAGGATAAGCACCAGCATCGATAATCATTTGGTGAACTGCTTTATCAATTTCATTTGTTGTCACTGATGGCTAATAGGAATATAAGAAACACGCAAATCACATGCCATACTACAAGGTTTTAAGAATCAAATGGCAAGATATGCAGACTTAATTGTAGGACGTACAGACACAGATCTATATATAAGTAAAAACAAAAAATTAAATTCCTGTTTTACAAAGTAGTTTGAGATCTGATGGAAAATAAGGCATACACTTTATGCTCAACTTTTTTGAATAAAATGACCATCAGAAAAAGTGAAATAGATACACAACCTATCCCACATTCCAGAAAGAGGAGAGAATAATTGACAACAATATTCTGGTAATTTGTTTTTTCAAAAAAAGAAAGAAAGACAACAACATCAAAATGAACATGAAGAGCCAACGAAGTAAAGAACTTGTGCACTGACTTTTTCACGGCAGCCACCACCATTGCAATAAAAACCACACTGCCTATAATCTTTGTTTTCAAAAAGAAAGACAAAAACCTCAAAATGAACATGAAAAGCCACTGAAGTGTCTAATACTAGTCGACTAAAAAAACTATTTTAGATGACCATCTAAATGAAATTAAAGAATCCGTGCACTGACTTTTCCGCGGCAGCCACCACCACAGCAATAAAAACCACACTGCTTACTAGTCCCCACATAAGATAGCATGTCAAGTTTAATTAGAATATAGTCAAGACTCCACATTTCCCTCAAGGCCCTTGTATTGAAAGAGAAATCTCCCAAAACAAAGCAACATACCTGACTTTCAACAGAATGTTACAAATCCATATCTAATTTCAATAGAAAGGTAGCAAAAAGATATTGCATTTAAATATAACAGCACGTGCCCCATGGCCATTTGTAAATGTAGTTGGCACATTTATTTGGCAGATCACATTATTTCAGCCATTCCCAACTCACCACTAAAAAAAATGATGGCAGTAACGTCCTAAAAGTAACTGAATCTTTAAAGTAAGAAAACGTAAGGTGTATCCTGGAAGGTTGTAAGGTTTGCCTTTTAGTCAACTTCTATTGCTTTCAAATTTGAATAAATTATCAAACCAATGAGCACGTTCCAGACATATTAAGTGGTCTCAATACAGAAGAACCATAATTACAGATCCAACATAAACTTATATTATAAACCTGACAGATCCTACTGCTGTCAGAATGCAAAGTACATGATTGACATTTAACAGATAAATAAATACAGATACTGCAATTTCTCACCCTAACCAGTGTTCCTGCATAGTCTAATACTCGAGCAGCTAGCTCACACGCAGCCCTCATGTGAGCAAGGCCTTCAAAATCAGGAATTTGATACTCACTTGAAATTTCTGGCAACAAAGGTGAACCTACATAAGGAGGCTTTGGTATATGATCAGGCACGGGAAGACGTGGTGATACCTTTCCACGCCTTAAGGGTGGCCCTTTTTTGGAGGTTGTCGAAGTACGAAGCTCACGTTCCCTAGCATAAGCAAACAGTCAATCAATAAGGCAAGTTAAGATTTACTTCAACCTTCATAAAGCAATGAAACAGGATCAAAGCAATCAAACTGACATGATCATTACAGCTTCAGACTGTGCATCAAGTACAAAAAACAAATGCAAAAGGAAATAGAACCTAAGATATGAAAAAGGTAGCCCAGAAATGGTAACCTTTTTTTACCACAACTTATCAGCAGCGTATGATAGTAGTATGGGCATGCTTACAGGACCAGCTTATCAAAAGAAGATGCACTGAATATAATGATTGCACAAAATGATCATAATAGCCTCAGCTCTTGGAGACATAGATCCTAATTTCTTCATAATCCTAAAACAAGATATGACTAACAGGCACTATATATATGTACTGGTTATTAACTGTGCCTGAAGGCACGTGGTAATAAAAAAATGGTCAACAATAAACATATTTGTATTTAAACCTAAAATCAAATCACAAACATAGAGGAGAGAGAAAGAAATTTAAACACCAATCGTAATAGGGATGAGTGGTGATGGGCAGCAGCAGTGGTGGTGGAAGACGATGACGGTTGTGGTGGGTGGCGACCACCATGATGGTGGTGGCTGCAATGGGTGACAACAGTGATGGTGATGGTGAATTTTGGGTGACGATGGTGGTAATGATAGTCATGAGTGACGACAGTGGTGGTGGTAAAAGAACAACAACAGTGGTGGTGGAAATGGTGAGTTATGGTGGTGGGCGGTGATGATGATAGCGGTGGGCGACGATGGGTACTTCTAAACGACAGCGTGATGGGTGGTGGTAAATAATAGTAATGGTAGTGGGTGTGGTGGGAGAAAGTCACAATGGGTGGCGACAGTGGTTGACGATGACGGGTGGTGGTGATTTGTGATTGTAGGTGCGGTGGGAGTGAGTGACAATGACTGACGACGATGGTGGGCGACGGGTGGCAGTGTGGCGGCGGCAGAGGAGTTGGTGGTAGTGATGGTCGTTGTGGCAAAAGTAGTGGTGGGGAGGCAACAGTGACGACGATGATGGTGGTGGTCGTGGTGCTAGCGCTGGTGGTGAGGGTAGTTGTGGTGATGGGGTGGCAGTAGTGGTGGTGAGGTAGTTTCAAACACTAATTTTTTTTTAAAGTACTTATGAGAAATTATAAGTTCTAAAAATACTTTTAAAAAATCACACTAATTACACCCTTAAGGGTCTATTTTTCCTATTAAATTTAGGTGTTAATATTAACCGTCAGATTAATTTCAAAATAAATTTTAAAGAGATCTCAACTGCGAAAAGCAAAAATTATTTTATTTATAAATTGTATTGTATTTTATTATATAGATGTAGACACACACACACACCCTACACCCAACTATAAAAGTATCAAGTATGTGAGGCCATTAATTTTACTATTACCACTCATCTATATTCATATTTATCTTGTTAGAGCATCTAATCTAAAATCAATTGACAATAGATGGAGTGTCCCCTCAAGTATATAAATCAAATTTTGTGGTTCTAATTATTCAATATGGGATGGAAGCTCTCTTAACAGCCCCCATCACATGAGACCCAGTCTCACACATGGGATAACAAACAAAAAACTATGTATACCTGGAAACTCAAATGAAAAAGAGATTTAACTCAATGACCACCTAAGACCTAGCTCATCCAACTGAAAATCAATTAATAATAGGTGGAGTGGCCCTTCAAATGTATAAACCACCATTGGTGGTTCTAATTATTCAATGAGGGAATACAAACTCTCTTAAGTTTTAATACATCTATAGCATCAAATATATTGAATTAGCCTTAAAATTCAAAGACTCATATTGACAATCAAGTGCACAAGTACTTTGACTAGCATAAAAAAAAAAGAGATGCATACATGTAATGAGTGTTATCACAAGAGAAAGTGCGTGTAGAATAGGGTTTATTGGGTGCACCATTAAATAAGAGTACCTTCTTATTCTCATTGCCTCCTCCAAGCCTGATATCCTCTTCGAAAAAACAACAAAACGCTTTCCAAAATGAAAATGTTTCCCTAAATCCAACAGATCACAATCAAATTATATCAAACCAAAGAATTCAAATTACCAAACTGACACCAGAGTTTAGTGTGAACACTAATATACAGACACACAAGGATTTGTGAGCACAAATCAATTGGAAGTAAAAAAGTGTAATGGATGATATAGAGCTGGTGAGAGAGAGGGGATAAATAGTGAAGAGTAAAATACCAGAAAGAGAAGGTGGTGAGGTGTTGAGTGGGGTTCCTATGAGAAGATTAGGAGATGATAATGGTGATGACAAGGCTTCCCAATGGAAAGAAGATGAGACTGTACGGGAGAGAGAAAACCCAAAAGCCATTCTTGGACCAAGAAGAGAGTGGCACTGAGCATTGATAGTTTGTACGAGAGAGGGGATAACGAAGATTTTGCTAGATAATGGGCTGGATCAACAGAGAGATTATTAATGGGCTCAGTTGGAGCCCATTAAGGTTATATTGGGCCCCCTCAACTATAAATTGAGCCTGTTGGTTAGATTGTGAACAGCTCCTTAAAAGCATTTTGGGCTGGGCTGACATATTGGCACACATCAAAAACCTTGCCTTTGAATCAGAGATCATCTATGGTATGTATACGGAGACTTATTTAGATTCCGAGTCTTGTTTGAGTTCATAGCAGATTCTTTATCATTAAAACACAGAGACAGCAATAATTCTGTAATTAATTGGTTTAATTTAACTCATTCCGGAACTTATATGAGATGGATATGTCCAACTAGTTTTGGGTCGTAAAAGATGATTTTTTTACGAGCAATACTATTCAGACTAAAATTATTAATCTAATTTGTTAATCTAATCCGGTACAGGTGTTGAATTGACAGTTCATTCAATATTATTAGGACTTACGGTTAATCTAACGATTATAATGAAATTATGTTAGTAAATATGTATCTCGAATCAAATCTCCAACAGACACTAAAATTGACTCTGCACTGGGAGTGCCCCTCTTCGGTCTCAAGAACTCGAGCTATCTTTATAGGTATTGGTAGCCACTTCAGATTGTATAACTACTAGAAAGCATAAAGATCGATGAATGCCAAGATTAAAACGCATTAAAATTAAGTAAATAAATTAAGTTCAAGTAGTATTATTTTTTTTTACCATTTTGCTTCTTAATCTAGAGTCATACACCTCAATCTCCTCAAATAAAACCTGAAATAAATTTCAAATTGGGCATTAGAAAGAGAGATCTGATGATAATATATATATTTGGTGATCATTTTCTTTGAAAATGTCTACTTTGACTGTAATATATATATTGTCAAATGTCAACGTTAAGCCAATTATTTTGACATAATTAATTATATGCGGCTTAGTATAATCAAAAGTCCCTTTTAGTGGCATGCGATCTCTCTCTCTCATGCTACGTTATGGAGTTGCAATGACATTATTACATCTTTGAAAAATTGACTTGTGACCCTAGAAAGTAATGAAAAACAGACGTATATGAGATAAACAATTCCATGCATGGTATGATAGAAAATGCTCAAGTTATAATGACATAGCTTGATATATATGAATTAATCATTTGGCCGTAATTTTTTATTTTAGATATGACAATAAAATCCCAATTACGACATTTTTTTTTTTTTACAAATTAATGATTTACTTTTGACTTTCAAAATGCAATCTAAAGTAATCAACTCAATGAAAGAAAAGGCTACGTCGGTATATATATATATATATATATATAAGATCACTTTCGCCGATATTATATTTTTTTAGTGACATATGAAATCTTGTCGTTTATAATATTGAAATGCTTAAGGGTTGTACATGAGGAAGTCAGGTACGAGGCCACCTAATCACACCTAAAGGAGGTGATGTCTCGTTTTGAGCCGGTGAAATCCAACTTGAGAGAGAGAGAGGCCATAACCAAAAGCAACCTACCAAACATTTGACCTTGTTGGAATTAAGTTGATTAGAATAAATGTGCAAAGACAAAGAGAGACAGTAATAATTCTGTAATGAATTAGTTTAATTAAACTTATTCTGGGACTTATATGAGGAGGATATGCAGGAATTTCACACGCTACTCCAGCTAGTATTGGGTTGTAAAGTATAATCTTTTGACATTTTGCTCCCTAATCCAGAGTCATACACCTCAAACTTGTCAAATAAAACCTTAAAAATTGTCAAATTGTTGCTAATCCTGTGTTGTTTAAACTTCGGAGAGAGAGAGAGATCTTATGAAAATATATTTGGTTATCATTTTGTTTGAATATGTCTAACTTGACTGAGTTATGTATTGTCAAATGTCAACGTTAGCCAACTAGCTTGACATTTATGTGCGGCATTGAATAATCAAAAGCACTCCTTTGGTTGGCATGAGATCTCCGTTTCTCATGCTACGTTGTAGAGTCACTAGAAAGTAATGAAAATTGCATGTATGAAATAAACAACTCCATGCATATGACATTAAAGAAATACTGATTAGGGAGAAGAAATCTTTAATCAAAGTGAATACTTGTTGTTAATGGTTAAGTTACCTTGTTGAACACCCGATAATCAATACACAAGGCTCCCTTTGGGGAGGGAGAGAGAGAGAGAGAGAGAGAGAGAGTATCTTCCAGGTCATAACCAAAAGCATCCTACACAACATTTGAACTTATTGGAATTAAAGATGATTAGAAATAAATGAGGAAAGAACACATAGACAGTAATGATTCTGTAATTAATTGTTTAATTTAATTAATCCAGGAACTTTTATAATTAAAATGCATCATTTGACCTGCTACTCCAGCCAGAATCGGTTTGTAAAAGATGATTTTTGTTTTGACATTTTGCTTCGTAATCCAGAGTCATACACCTCAATCTCGTCAAAGAAAACCTTAAAAATGTCAAATTGTTGCTAGCCCGGTGTGGTTTGGACTTTAAAGGGAGATCTAATAATAATTATTTGGTATCGTTTTGTTTGATTAAATTTACTTTGACAGTAATATATATTGTCAAAATGTCAACTTTAGATAACTAGTTTGACGTTTATATGATCCTATTTGGATTTACTTTGGGTACTTAGCCGGAGGACTTAATTAAGTACAATCATTGGATTAAAAATGTGCTCCATCTAATATTAATATTCACATTTAATTTAATAATTGTATTGAATTAAGTCATATATCATTGCTCATAATCAAAACCCTCTTCTCCTTTTTTTTTTTTTTTTTATTTGGTTCAACAGGCAGAGTTGTCTGAGTTAATTTACGCGCATCTCGATTAATTCTCTTCTTAGTTCAGTTTAAGACAGACTATCTATACCAAGACTAGAGTATTTATAAGGGATTTATCCTTCATGGTCCCGCTCCAAACAATTGTTAAGATTCGAAATCATTACTACTTTATGGAGTTAGAATGACATTATTAGATTTTTTAAAATTTGAATTATGACTAGAGAGTTAATTATGAAAATCATGCTTATCACATAAGCATGAAAATTGGGTATATATTACATTGAACAGCCTGATACATAGGGTGTGTTTGGGTAGTGGGTTAGGATAGGATAGGATTTCTTTTTTTATATCCTAACTCATCCAATCCAAACTCACTTACCCACTTTAAATCCAAAGTTAGGGACTATATCCAATCTAAACCTTTATTTGGGAACAAATGTGTAATTGTGTAGGCCCCATAAATTATACCAAAATTTTTATATTAATTTATTATTTTACCCATGATTTTATCTGATTCAATCCAATCCCATTGTTTATTTGGGTATATACAGTAGACCCCTCAAAGCACCCGGCTAAAGCAAGCACACAGAGAGGGGGTAAATACACAGAAAGGCAAAGTTGAAGCTTAGTTTTTTTCTCTGCACACACACACACACAGATATATATGTATATTGTCTGTGTATCTACAAAGATTTTGAAATATGGATATTGAACAAAAGCAAGAAAATTCTTTGATTGAGTACTTCATCAAGCAAGTTTCAGTACACAAAGGCTCTTCACTTTCTGTCTTCACCTCTGTGCAACAGCCTTGGATGAGCTCTCATAGTGATGGTTGGACGAGAGTGATAGGAGAAAGATAGGGGCAAATAAATCTGGATCCCCACAGTGAGCCAGATCTGCTTCTATCTCGGTTCAGAGAGAGAAAGAGAGAGACATACCAGAGACTAAGAACCAAGATGTCTTCGTCGTCTTCACAGCCTTGAAACAAAGAAAGAAAGAGAGGGATAGACAAGTAATTGCCCAACTTGTTCAGTCGGTTAGGATTTAAACCCAGGGGGGAGGTGGGTTAATTTTATCCCATGTAGGAGGGTTAATTTTGCACTGTAGCAATCGGGTCAAAATTTGACCGGGGATTGTTATCCAGTCTCAAAAAATGCTTCCCAAACAAAAGATTTATGGGACCCATTGTCTTAATAACCTATCCTTATGGTATTAACCCACCTTAACTCACTATCCAAACACACCCATAGGAATTCATTGTGTCTCTTTTCATTTTGGAAATGATAGAGATCCTAATAGGAGATTATTTTTAGAAATTAATAAATTATTTGTCTTCCAAAATTTTGTCAAAATTGATCAAACAATGAATAAAAACGCTATATATATATATTTAAAAATGATATTTTATTTGTATTTATATTTATATTTTTCCCTGGTTATGAATAAAGTCTTGCCATTATAATATTAAAATGTTTAGGTGTCGCCTTTCTAATAAACACTATAAGTGTGTATGGACAGACAATTTAAACAAATGTCAAGGGTGTCGGTGTAATTTTCCTTAAAATTATTTTAGGCATAACTTTATAATTGATAGTCATTACTGCACAGCCTTTCAAGATCCGACTGGCTGCAAGATTACATGAATCTGGACTGGGCCAACTTGGATTATCCAGAAACTACGCCATCCAAACACAGTTTTGATCAAATAAAGTAAGACAAGGGGGGAGAAAACGATATGTTTCAAAACCCTTGGTTGTATTGGATCTGAATGGTGTCTGCTTGACCCATTTACTATTAACGAGTCATTCTTAGTGTATAAGATTTTCCTCTTTTTAAGAGATCAATGATAAATAATCTTATATGATAATTCAATAACGACATATTACATATATAAGTATCGACAGCTCGAGATGGCATAGAAGAGAAAAGATGATCTTATTCTCTCATCTTGGTTTGTTGCGTTTTTTTCTATATCTTCTCATTATTGTTTATCTGCAGGGCAACACCAAATCAAATGAGATATATATATATATATATAAAGCAATATTACAGTGACTTAATTTGTTGATTTGATAAATCATTGTCATTATAGATTGACAATGAACTTGAGTATTAGTTAGGGCTAGTCATCAATTTAGTAGTGGTGATGGATCATATAAATATCAATTTTTTATCAAATAAACCTTAGATGAGTATTGCTTCTAAGGTTGTAAGTGCTCTTTATAATACAATTCTTCACCCAATACAATTCAAACATCACTAAGTCCGACCTAATTCTAGGTAGGAGAAAAGTGAAAACACCTGTAATGTTCCACGTAATGACGGCCAAAGTTCCTCTTTTGTATTAGACAATTACCACTTTCCTAAATGACCTACCCCATCGTTACACAATTGCCTCTTTTGCCCAAATGACCTACCTGTTAGTACAAGAGAACTCTCTCTCTCTCTCTCTCTCTCTCTCACACACACACACACACATACATGGGGCTAAGTAGGTCAACATGGAGATATTTGGCGAAAGCAACAACACTCCAAAGCATTACTAACTATTCAGCACTAAACATTAGATTTAAAATGGTCAGAACTTTGAACAGATCAAATTGACAGCTTTTCATTTTTCGGCTCTCTTCAACCTTTTATTAGCTTAATATATAATATACAATTGAACTTTACCACTTGAAATACCCCACTATCACAGATACGGATCCGGATCTTCTGTTGTAAATTTTTAACTATAGGAATGGTATTCTTCAAAATGACACTTCCTTACATCAAAAGGACATCATTTTATTAAATAAAACAACATCATTTTAGGAAGTAACGATATTGTTTTAAGAAACAACATCTCTGTTGTACGATGGAGGATCCGAACTCCCTCCGGCCTCGTTCCTGCTTTCCATCTAAAAAGTACAAGACAAAAAACGAAACAAAATGTTACAAAGCATCTATAATCCTTTGTTTCTTACTACACCCTACTGCTAATAACTCCATTTCTCTCATTCTCTTACCACTACAACTACCACTGTTATCAACATGTTCAATACCACTGCTAGTACCTGGTACCTTAAATATGTTAACCCCAAATAGTCTCACCATCTGCACCGGTTGAACCGGGCCTGGCAACAACCCGACCGGGCCCGGTACATTCCTTGCCTTCCAGTCTATGTACAGCTGCTTCTCTGGCCCGGTCGATCTCTGGAAGCTCACAATGTCACCAGCCCGCAAGTTCTTCTCTTTCACAAACCTACTCCACCCTTTTGTAAGCACATAGCTCTGACTACTATTCCAGTATGAGTATCGAAATCGCCACACTTTACCTCCAATATCTTCAAAATTCAACAATACCCCTTTGGAATTGTTCCCATTTTCCAGAGGGAAGTGTTTTTCGGCATGTTGCTTTGGTATAACGAGCCGGTTCAGCTTACCCACATCGCTCGGTGTTACTGCCTTCTGAAAGAGCTGTTCACGGGCTTTTGGGCCACGTTCTGGCCCGAAAGGGCCAACAAGGCCATTTTTAGACACCCTTTTGCTATTGTTATCGCTATGAGCATAGTTTCTTTTGCTTTGCTCAAGCTCATCATTGTATGTGTGTTTTCTGAGCATGTCAACAATCTCAGCTTTGGACTGAGAATTCAAGAAAGCTGATTCGAGATCATCCTCTTCTGTCTCAGACGATGGCTTGAAGTTTGTAACGGCGTCGCGGCCGCGGAAGCGTTGGGCGGCGACGTCGTAAGCTCTGGCTGCTTCTTCTTCTTCATTGAAAGTGCCCAACCAGACTCGTTGGTGTTTTTCATAGATTTGAGCACCCCACCGGCCATTAGGCTGAGGGACTACTCCTTTGAATCTTGAAGATGGTAGCTTTCGAGACTCGGCCTCGACACCACCTTCATAATCAAACACCACACTTGACCCACTTCCAACTCGGCAAGGACTTTCCGGTGCCTTTGTCGCCGGTAAAGTCAACGCCGATCCCTCTGCAATTGAGAGAGACTCACTGGTTGTGCTCTCATCTGTGGAACTTCCATCCATTTCAATTGCTTTTAGAGAGAGAAAGGGAGAACAAAGTGATCCAATGGGAGGGATAAAGAGAGAACGAGAGAGATGTATGAAATGGGTTGTGTTAGAACTTAGAAGGTAGAATATATATAGGAGCTGCCCGAAGACTTGGTGTGGTATTTTTTAATGCTTATGGGTGATAAATTGTATATTTTTGGTAAATGGAGATATGGATGTGGTGGGGTCAACTCAAAGAGATGGTAAAGTAGGAAGATTCATGGATGGTAAGAGAAATTGTGTGCGTGTGAGAGAGAGAGAGAAGCGAGGGAGGGGGAGAGATCCTAGATACTACTAGTATGTGTGTAGGTTTGGGGTGCGGAGGTTATGTGAGGTGGGGTAGGTATAAATAGCAAGTTGATGAATGATGGGGGTGTCGCATGAGTGTGGACACCGTGTTTTAGTAAAGTTCATCCCCCCTGAGCTTTGCTGCTACTGCTGACTGCTGACTGCTGACTATCAGTATGGCCTCCCCTTTCTCTCTCCTCTCTCCCATATTTATCTCCAGCACAATTGGTATCATAAAAGTAACAGCAAATAAAAAAGAGAAACCTTAGGTTGCGTTTGGAAACGATTTTGATTTTTAATTTTTTTAAAAATAAAATTTAAAATGGTTTTCATTTTTTTTAATAAAAAATGAAAATAGAAAATCTGTTTAGCTGTATCAGATGTTCAAAAATTCACGTGAGGCATAAACCATTTCCAATATCAAGATTGAAATCACCGATTATGAGAAGGCTTTGGGTAGATTCTCCATGAAATGAGTGAATGACAATCTTTGTTGGTAATATGACAGTTTTTCTTCTTACATCTACCATCTATTTTAAAATTCTGAGAAAGCTTTGGATTAAAAAAAAAAGAACAAAGCTGCTGGAACAAACAAAAATTAGATCTGAAACAAAATAGAGTTGTTGGAACGACAGAGACGAACAAACAAAATCAGATCTAACACAATATTTAAGGAACGAAGCTGTTGGAATGAGAGAGACGAAGTTGAAAACAAAATCAGATCTGAAAATCATTGATCTAAGGACCCTTAACTTGGTGAAAGAGCATTAGACGAGAGAGACGAAGTTGGACCTCCTCTATTGGACGAAGTTGCTGCTGTAACTCTTTGCTGGACAAAGCTGCTACTGTGAACGAAGCTGTTGCTGTGAACGAAGAGGATGAGAGAGACGATGAGATGAGAAAAAATTTGAGGGTTTAAATATTATTGCTGGAGGGTTTTTTGGTAGAAGGCTTAGTTTGTTGCTAACAAGAGTCGATAGTAGAATCTCATTAAATGCCTTCTGCCCGTTTCTGTTTTTTGTTTTTTGGAAACGACTTTTTTTTGTTTCTAAATTCTTAGACAATTTTGAAAACGGTTTTAGTTAAGAAAAAACTAAAATAATTACTAAACGAGTTTAAATTTCAAATTTTCGAAAAAATTGAAAACCAAAATGTTACCAAACAGACCTTTAGTAATGTAATTTTTTTAATTTTTTAAAAAAGAAATGGGGAGAGGGAGGAAATCACCAAATAGTGATCTCCGGGTGTGATCATGAGTCATCACACCACCACCAAAACACTAGTGAACAGTATAGTAAGACCTCGTGAATCGAACCTTCAAACCTCGTGGGAGTCATGGTATGGCCTTAAGACGGCCTGTTTTACCATTAGACCACCAATTCCTCTTATTCTTAGTAATGTAGTTGGGAATCTCATTTAGACTCTAATTTAAAAGTTATAAATTTAATTTTTTTTATACCTCTTAAAGATTAATCATTTTTATCTCTCATTGAAGACATACTCTAAGCTAACTAAAGTCATGGTGGTCAATCCTGAATTTGAGAAAATAATTGACGCAAATCTGAATACTCTGTAACAAAATAATAATAAAGAGAAATTAAATAAAAAAATATTATTTAAATTTAATTTAAGAACTTCATCAATTATAATTTAGATTGAGAATAAGCTTTATTTAACATGAGAAATCATAACTAATATTACATCTCTAATTAGGTTATCATATATATATATATATATATATATATATATATATATATAATTTGAGCTAGTAAGTTGAATCTTTATCTCTTATACATTTTTTCTCTAAAAAATATTATATCACACAATTCTATCATATGTTCAATCATTTAATATTTGATTAATTTATAGTTTAACATAACTTTTATTTTTGTATAATTTAATATAATTTTTATTTCATATATTATTCATACACGATAATGTACATATATTGAAAAACATCTATCGAATTATATATTTTAAAAAAAATTTAACGCTATTTTTAAGAAAATAATAAATAAAAATTAATTTTAAATGGGATAAGTAAAAAAATCTATTTATATATATATATATATATAGAGAGAGAGAGAGAGAGAGATTTTACATAGGGAAAAGAGTTGGGGCTATAATCTGCTTCCCCTAGAATGGGGGTGATGGGCCAATATGGAAGAGAAATGGATAGAGTTGAAGACAAGGATGATCCAACAAGAAATTCCCATAAGTCTTACCTGGCATTATTTGATTTGTCCTTTTTATCTTTTATTTGTCTTATTGGCTAGGTGCACCTCTGTATCTCTGCAAAAATACATCATTGCATAGTTCACAAAAAACAACACTGATAATTTTCCTTCCAAAGGGTTTTGTTATTGTTTTTTCAATAATGTTACGTTAATTAAATTTTTTGATAAAATTAAGAATTTAAATGATATGATAATTAACTTGAATTTTTTTATTTGGTACTATGTCATTTGTGCCACAATAAATACTCTAAAGAATATGTTATCATGTCATTTGAACTTTTAATTTGATCTCAAAATTTGATCAACATAACACTATTTTTTTTTTTTACCATTCATCTTCCCGGTAGACATTTGTTATCCCCTCCCCCCCTCCTATTTTTGTGTGATTTACCCAAGTCCTAAATTAGCATCATATAGTCATTTAAATCGGTCTATTAATAGTTTTGTCATCTGTTTTTAAGATTTGACGCTATTGGGAACAAGGCTCTCGCACCATTTTATTGTAATATATTTGATACTTATCGAGAATACTCAATATAATAACTTATGGTTGATGTCGTAGATGGGCATGAGTTGTTCATATTGACGAATGTGACTCTCAAGATCACTTCTCCCATCATAGAACCTGAAGCGGTGGACTATAAACTTTCTTGTTGCCTTCACTTCCTTGATAATGCAAACGAATGGAGAAATAATTAACTCATCTTCGGTGTCATATTTCACTCTTTCTCGGTGTGGTTTCTAATGTCGAGTATTAGGGTGAGAATAAAGATCCTCACGACCTTTTTTTTCGGTCTTTCTGAAACCCAACATCTTTGACCAAAAAGGTCAAATTCCCTTGAGCTATTTCTTTTTCGGTGGTCCCAAATAGTCGATGGTGAAGGTATCCACACGAAAGAACCTTTATTTTCTTCCCCCAGTCTATCGGGATTGTCTCCGGGGGGGGGGGGGGTGCTCTTGTTTGGAAGGGTGTGAGTTTGTTTTTCGCCACAAGCAAAAGTGGAGATCCTTCCCAAAAATATCACAAGAAGGTTCTCAGGAATGATATTTATGAACGCTTCGGTTGACTCATCCTTCCTAAGGCGACTCATCCCTTTGGAGGTCCCAATTGAGTGCTCGAAATCGGTTTGCCTGTTAAGTACTTTCATGTCGTCGCGCTCTATCTGCTTCAAACGGTCACCCAATCGCTCTTCAACAAATTCCATAAGGCTCTGCTCGGCATGTTGGGTATGTTGTAAATTTCTCTTAATACCATTAGATTGATCCAACAACTGAGACTCCGTTAGGACAGGGAGGGAGACACCCTCGCGTTTCTCACGTGAAGATTGTCCTCTGCATTGCTATGAGATCGAGTGCTCACCATGACATTTGCTATGGAAAAAATTGATTTGAAAAGTTTTCATATACAATGCCAAATTGTACGAATGGTTTCCTACAATGATTTGAGATAGTTTATCACAAGATGAGCTTGAATAAGAGTATTGAAATATGGAACGATGTCAAAAAAGAATCGAGTGTGTAGCCTTCTTATTCCCTCTAAAATTTAAATCAGTCGGTGCATAAAGTTGAGAGGACAAGTGTATAATGCAAAACTAATTTAACATACATACCTGTGTTCTTTTTCACTTTTTTACTTGACTATTTATACATTCAAATATGATGACATGATAATCACTCGAGTACCCCCACCTAGGCCTGAGTGCCTATGTTAATTAGGCAATGTTCAAAGTGCTCCCCCATCATACTTCATTAATGCCAAATAATAGGACAATTAGGGTCAGATGCTTGGAATAGGCCGAGCATTCATGGCCTCGCATCCCATAGACACCAAATCATCCCGAACATCAAGTGCTCTGTGCCAAAGTAACTGTAGTCTATTGTCGATCACTCAAAGATATATATTAAATATTCAACTGGATACCCCCCTCCCCCTCAGGGATATTTGACTCTAGTAAGGGTCATATCTTGTCTTTTTATGAAGCTTAATAGGAGTTTTCTACTGACAGATGATAATGATCGCTTGTCACACTAGTACTAGCCCAATGGCAATTAATTCTCGAGATGTCCCGTGCACATGTTTGCCTCTTTATGGGTCATATCCTCTCAGTCTCAACCCTTGGAAGTTCAGGGAACACACGTGCTAGCTGTAACCAGTCATGTGTGAACTTGTGGTTGACAGGCTGCCCACATCCCATCAATTTATCAATTACAAAATTTCCACAAAATTGCCCAACAAATCCCACAATTTAATCCAATTTGATTTGCTTGTGTTGGGAATAGTGCGATTCATATTCATTTGGTTAAAAATAAATGGATTAGTGGAGAGAAACATAACGAAATGGAGCACAGTGCAAAGTAGGATTACTTTACACTTATACATAGTGAAAAGAAGCCACTCGCATAAACATAAGTAGGAGTTCTACCAAATTAGGTAAATCTTATATTCTTATTTTTTTAATTATTTTTTATTATTATTCAGCGCACTACAAGTTAACAACTTGGTGGTGTTAGAGAGTGTTGGGGTTTCCTACATGACTGTATGAGAGGGATGACTATAAGATCTAAAATCTCACATTAATATGTCGTTGTGATTCTACATATATTGTTCATAAATCTTTTATAATCTTCTGTGCGTGCACGATCCTGCACAATATAAAAACGAGAACAGATCTCTCCCTTGGTGAACTCGAGTGAGTCAGTTGAGTGACCAACCACGCCGCTTGGAACAGCCTGCGAGGTCCGGTGGAAACCTGGAGCGGCAACGGG